GGCTGGATCTGCTGTGGGAAGGAGGTTTCTGTGGGGCAGGGAGTCTCAGCGCAGCCCTTCCCTCCCCCCCCAGACCACCATCATGGCCGTGGAATTCGATGGAGGCGTCGTCATAGGAGCCGACTCCCGAACCACCACCGGGTGAGCGCCATGACGTCATCGATGACGTCACGGGGGTCCGGGACGGTGTCACAGGGTTGTCACTCTTGTCAGGGTGCCACCCTGATGCCACTGGGAAGCCACCCCCAAAGCTGTGGGCAGGGTCCCCAGGTATCAGTGTCACACCTTGCCTTGTCACAGGCAATTTTCCATCACCCAAATCATCCAAGGAATCCTTTGTTTATGTGGAGTAATTTCTGCAAAAGTATCCTCAGGTTAAAGTTTGTCCTCTTGGTCCCAGTCTTTGGATTTCTCTCCACGGATCACATTCTTATTGGCCAGGTCACTTTTCCTCTTTTAGGGAGAGTTTTCGATCCCACGGAACCCAGCGTGTTGATAAAAATTGGATTTGAATCCCGTGTTCAAATCACCCAGTCCAAAGGGCTGCCTGCATCCTTCTAAGACATGTAATTCTTGATTCATACGTAAAATATGGAACACACACTATTTTTATTATAATCTTGGGTCCGTTATGTGTAAAATTCTTCCCAGTGCCTCAGATCTTTGCACAAAACATTCCATCCTGGTAATCCTGTAAATCCATTTCCCAGCATCCCCCAGGGGTTATCCCTGCCTTTCCGGGATTTTCGCTCCTATTTCTTTTTGTTATTCCCACAGAAAATCCCACATTTCTAAGTCCCATGCCTGCAAAACCTTTCGCTTTCTGCCCAAAGAAATTCCAGCACCTTTCTGGGACCGGCAGCTGCTCTCCAGGGGTTTCTCAGCACCGCCAGTTCATCGCTCCCATTGCAGTGTCACCTCGGGGGTGTGTGACAGTACAGACAGTACAGACAGGTTGTCACGGTGACATCTCCGCCGTGTCTCGCAGGGCCTACATAGCCAACCGGGTGACGGACAAACTGACCCCCGTGCACGACCGCATCTTCTGCTGCCGCTCGGGCTCAGCCGCCGACACGCAGGCGGTGGCCGATGCTGTGGCCTACCAGCTGGCCTTCCACAGGTACCCCCCGTGGGCGTGGGGCAGGGCCGGGGGGGCTGTCAGAGCGACCCCCAGCCCCACGCCTGGCCCTGCCCCACAGCGTGGAGCTGGAGGAGCCGCCGCGGGTGCGCACGGCCGCCCGCCTCTTCCAGCAGAGCTGCTACCGCTACCGTGAGGAGCTCAGCGCCGGCATCATCGTCGCTGGCTGGGACCCACGGCGGGGGGGACAGGTGGGCTCCCTTCGGTTCGTGTCCTCTTTTCCACCCCAGCACATCTCCTTTTTCCACACTGCAGCATTCCTCCTTCTGCCCTGAGTGTCCTTTTTTCCACCCTGCAGCATTCCTCCTTCTGCCCTGGAGTGTCCTTTTTTCCACCCTGCAGCATTCCTCCTTCTGCCCTGAGTGTCCTTTTTTCCACCCTGCAGCATTCCTCCTTCTGCCCTGGAGTGTCCTTTTTTTCCACCCTGCAGTGTCCCTTCTTCCATCCCAGAATGTCCCTTCCTTTGCCCCGAGTGTTCCCTTTTCTGTCAGGGAGCATCCCACTCTGCCCCATGTCTCCTTCTACCCCTTCTCTACCCCACAGCACTCACCTCTGCCCTCCAGCTCCCCGCTTTCTGCCCCATAACTCCATCTTTCTCCTACGATCCCCTCTTTCTGCACCACAGCCCCTTCCCTTGTCCCACAGCACCCTAGAGCCCCCCCTCTGCCCCACAGGTGTACGTGGTGCCCATGGGGGGGCTCCTCCTGCGCCAGCCCTTCGCTGTGGGGGGCTCAGGCAGCTCCTACATCTACGGATTCCTGGATGCCACATTCCAACCCGGGATGAGCCGCTCCCAGTGCCAGGAATTCGTTGCCCGTGGTGGGTTTGGGGCATATTGGAGAATTTGGATGTGGGTGGGGGGAGAGGGGGGAGTGGTCTTGGGTGAGAGTTTGGGGGCACAGAGGAGTCTGCCTGGCATTGACGGGTTTGGGCGTGTGCTGGGAGGGGATTTTGGGATCATGGAGGGTTTGGGGGAACCCTGGGAGAGGATTTTGGGGCACAGAGGAGTTTGGGCAGTGCTGGGGGGTTTTGGAGTGTTTTGGGGGTTTGGGGGCTCCTGACCTGTGTTCCCTCAGCGCTGGCCCTGGCGATGGTGCGGGACGGCTCCAGCGGGGGTGTCATCAGGCTGGCGGCCATCACGGAGGAGGGGGTGGAAAGGACAGTCCTGGCCGGCTCTGACCTGCCCTGGGGTGATGGTGGCCCCCCTGTCTGAGGGAGAGCCCCCCCCAGGACTCCCAAATTTGGCGGGGGAGACAATAAACAGCTCAGCTGCCTCTGCTGGATGTTCTTGAGGTCTGCCTTTGGGGTCCCCTCCTGTCACCCTGTCCCTGGTGGGGGCAAGGCCACACGCACAGTGTGAGCGACACGGACCCCCCCCGGTGTGACAGAGATGAAGCACCCCCCAGGTCTGTGGGTCTGCTTTAATTACATTATCGCGATCCATGATTCATTAACAAAGCGCAGGGTGGGGGGTGCTGGGGGAAGGGAGGGGGGAGTTTAGGGGGGCTCCTGCCCCACACTGTGACCTTGATATTGGCTGGTAACAAAACCCCCAGAGGGGTGGGTGGGGAGGGAGCACAGGGGGAGGGCACCCTGCAGTCTCTGGAGGGCTGCCCCACAGGGACAAGGCATCCCCTGCTGTCCCCAAGGGAGGGATCCAGCACCCCTGTCTCAGGTCCAGGGCCCCTTCAGAGGGCCCCAGGGATCCCTAAAGCCTCAAGGAGTGGGTCATGCACCTCTATAGGGCCCAAGACCCCTCCATAGGGCCTCAGGGCCACTTCATAGCCTTGATGGGGGGTGGCCGGGCACTCCTATAGAACCCCCCAGCCCCTGGTGATGTGGGGGGGTCAGGCACCCCCACAGCACCTAAGGGAGAGGTCAGACACCCCCAAAGCCCCTTCACTGGGGGTCAAGTGCCCCTACAGAGCCCACGGGATGGGGTCAGATCCCCCCGACCCCCCCTGGGGGTGTCAGGCACTGAGGAAGAGCCGCTGGTACCACTTGTTCATCTGCTCGAGGAAGATGAAGGTGAGCACGGTGTGGGGGCCCAGGCGGGCATAGTAGGGGGTGAAGCCCTTCCAGAGGCTGAAGAAGCCCTCATACCGCACCACCTTCAGCAGCACATCCTGCAGGAGGAGCAGAGTGTCAGGGCCCCCCCCCAAAATAATGAGAAATCTTCCAAAAATTACATGGATGCCCTTCCAGAAAAACTTTTTGAAATAACACGGACACTCTCAGAATGATGGGGAATTCTCCCAAAATTATGAGAAACCTTGAAAAAATGACAGGGATTACCCCCACCCCCCTCCCCCCCATCAAAATAATGGGGAGCTCCCCAAAATTATGGGCATAGCCTCAAAATGGCCTGAATTTCTCCCCCCCCCACCTCCAATGACAGGGAACACCCCCAAAATGGCATGAAATCCCCCAGTTGAAAGGGAACTCCCGAAATGACAGGCGCCCCTCCTGAATTAATGGGGACTCCCAAACGGTGTTGCCCTCCCAAAGCCGCTCACTCACCAGCCCATTGCGGTACTCGGGTTTCCCATCTATTGTCCTCATGTTCTGGATCCTGTTGGGGAGCATTTAGGGGTTAAACGGGAGGTTTTGGGGTGACCACATGTCATATCTGTGGTTATCTAAAGGGGAGCAGGGCAGCCCCTCCCAAAAATGAACCCACCGGGTCTTGACGATGTCAACAGGCATGGAGGCGGCCGTGGTCACCAGCCCACTGATCATGCTGGCGCAGAAGTGGCACAGGATGTCGTCACGGAAATGCCCTGGGGGCACCCCAAAACATCAAAGGGGAATGGGGGGAGAGTGCACCAGGATTTAGGGTTTCCCCATGGCAGACCAAACCCCCCGAACTCACCGGAGTCGAGCAAGAATTGTTTGGATTGGGAGTACGAGGCGAGCTGGGCAGCGTTGACCACCACGGCACGGGCCATGGTGGGGATACAGCCCTGCGGGAAAATGGCATGTTGGGGTCACTCCTGTGCACCCCCAGAATTCCCACTTCCCCCATAGACCGTGCTCTCCCCCCTCACCACGGTGGGGACGCAGCACTGGGGTGGGAGGGGGCAGTTTGGGGGACCCAGCTCCCCCCACCCAGAGCATCAGGACACCCCCTGCATCCCTGGGGAGGCTCTCGGGGTCCCGCAGCCCCCACCTACCCTCCACAGCGTGAGCACCCCCTCCTCCCTCGCCATCCTCACGAGGGCGTCGAACACATTGTGATACCCGCGGCGCTCGCCCGGGGGTAGCCTGGGATCCAGGGCAAAAAAAGGGGATTTTGGTAAAAAAAGCCGCCTTGGGGAGGCAGGCGGGGGCGCAGATACGTTTTGGAGGGTTGAGGGCTTACCTGCCATCAGCTGTCATGCGGATGAGAGCCACCTCAGCCGGGGTCCCCACAAAGGCCCCCGCAGCCCCTGCGGTCATGCCCATCGCTGCCTTGGCCAGGAAGGGAGGGGGGGTCCCATCAGCCCCCCCAAAACGCTCCAGGAGCACGCTGTAGATGCCCAGGCGGGTGGTGGTGTAGGTGGCCTGGCGTAGAAGCCCCGCTGATAGCCTGGAGGGACACAGAGAATGGGAGGAGTCCCAAAAAGGGGGGTGGGGGGGCAGGAAAGAGCTTTAGCCTGGCAGCTGCTTGGGGTTCTGAGGTTTTGGGGGCTCTGCATCACACGTAGATGACCACCAACCTCCAGGATGGGGCTGACCCCAGGGCACGCAGGTTTGGGTGGGTTCCCAGGGGGTTCAAGAGGTGCCCCAGGGATGTGGAGGTTCAGGTTTTGGGGGGCCCATACCCCGTGTAGATGCCCCTCAGTCCCTCGTGGCGCAGGATGGACCCCAGGGCGTGCAGGGACGTTCGGTACTCGCGGCCTTTGGCCCCGGCCCCGCTCAGCTGCATCCGGTTCTTCACCAGGTCCAGGGGCTGCACGAAGACTGTAGCCCCCATCCTGAAGGAAGGAGGTCAGGTAAGGTCGGGGGACCCCAAAAATACTCACAGCCCTCTCCACAGCCCCCCAGACACACCCACAGCCCTCTCAGGGGAAACCTGGGGTGACGAGCAAGTCTGAAGGAGCTTTGGGGATCTATTTGGGGTAGCACAGGCACGGTTTGAGGGGAGCTGGATGGGATTTTGAGAGCTTTGAAAAGGTTCAGTGTATTTGAATTGATTTTGTAGGGGGTTTGAGTTTGATGGGAGGGTTGGGGGGGTCTGAAGGGAGTTTGGGAGCACACAGAAGGGATTTGGGGGAGGCTGTGGGGGGCAGTGATGGGGACCCAGGAAGTTAAAGGGTTTGGGGGGGACGCTGAAGAGTTAGGAGGAGAACCGGGGGTGGTTTAGGGGGGACCGGAAGGGTTTGGGAGGGGGATTCTCGGTTTAGGAGCGCGGTATCCCGATTTTGGCGGGGGGGGGGGGCTCTCACCCGGCCAGGCCGCCGAAGAGAAACTTCACGGATTTCGGGGAGGTCTTGGGCCTCTGGGCCGCCGGTACCGCCGCCATCACGGCCGGGCCCGGGCACCGGGGGCGCGGGGGGGGCGCGGGGTCCGGCACCGGCGGCGCCCCAAGGTGACTCGGGGGGGGCGCGGCGCCACTGCGCCTGCGCGGGACGCCTGCGCGGCGCCAGGGCGGGGGCCCCGCGCGGGGAGCGCGGCTGGGCGGGAAAGCCCCGCCCTCTGGGGGCGTGGCCGTGCGCCCCGCGCCGCCCTCGCGCCTCTCATTGGTGGAGCGGGTTTAGGCGGGAATGGAAATTCTGCGGTGACCACGGGGATTGGCTGGGGCGGAGGCAGGTGCTGTAGCCCCGCCCCTCTCTCGCGATACTTCACCATTCTGAGGGGGCCTGGGGGGAGCCGGCGGCGGCGGGAGGGGGCGGCGGCGGCCACGGCCTCACGAATTCGGTGCCGCCGCTGCTCAGCTCCGCGGAGGGATGCCTATCCCGTCCTGTTCCAGGCGGTGAGTGCTGGGGGGTATTGGGCAACCTCCACTGAGCGATATTGGGAAGTATTTGGGACACTGGAGGGCGCTGTCAAGCACTGGAAGGCTCTGAGGCTATGCGGGGATGCACTTGGTACACTTGGGATCACCGGGAGGGACTTAGAGCGCACTGGGGGTCACTGGGAGGCGCTTTGGGGTCACTGGGAGGCGTCTTGGGTGCACTTGAGGGGCACTGGGAGGCACTTTGGGGTCATTGGGAGGTGCTCTGGGTGCACTGTGGGGCAGCGAAGGATGTCTGGGTCTACTGGGGGCAATCTTGCGTTCTTCACTCAGCACCGAGGTCACTCGGAGGCCCCCTACTCATACCGGCACATCCCACTGAGCTCTACTGCTGATTCTAACGAGGAGTCACCGTGAGGTGTTGCACCCCACCCTCTCCCCAGCACTTCCATTCCCCTCCCCTGTCCCTCCTCTCCAGCCCCCTCAGTTTTGGGGTACCCCTGAGGTGTACACGGTGTCAGGGATGACGCAGGTGACAGCATCCTACAGGTGTCACAGGTGACAGGATCACCTACCTGGACACGGAGCGGGAGGGGACAACACTGTCCCACAGGATGTAGGAGTGCCACGGCTCCACAGGTGACAGTGATGGTGTGCCACAACCTCACAGCCATGAGGGTTGCCTCATGGCAGGGGCAAAGGCACGCAGGAGGCCCCAACACCTGAGTCCATCCATGCTGGGTGAGGGTGACTGGGGGGACACTCCCATCTCCCCCCACGACCCAACCCCTGATAACCCAATCCCCGCCGTGGGGCAACTGCGGGGCCCTTCCCCCTTTCCGTGAGTCAGCCGTGGGTTGTGGAGGGGGGGGAACAGGAAGCGCCAGAGCCACCACATTGCCCTTATAAGGACTCGACTGACGGCACCGGAGCTGCTTCCGCCTGCCCGGACTCCTGCTCCAGCCGCACATCTCCCCCTCTACCCCACATCACCTTCCCACATCCCCATCTCTGCCCTACACCACCTTCTTCACCCCACATCAGCCCCGCCATCTCCCTGTGCCACACCCCATCCCCCACATTTGCACCTCTGCCCCACATCAACCCGTCCCACCACCTCCCCAGTCCCCATCTCTGCCTCACAGCACCCCCCGAACACCTGGGGCCCTGCCTCACAGCTCGCCAGAATATCCAGAGGAGTTCCTGCCCCCCAGTTCTCCTTCTGTTCTCCCCAGATGTCCCCCCAGCCCGCTTGTTCCATCCCACCGTCCCCCCCTGCTGCTGCCTGGACTCCCGCTGACCTCCCCCACCGCCTCCACCATGAGTGCAGCCCTCCAATAAAGCCTCTGCCCCCCAACTTTGTCTCCCGAGTCGGGGGTGGGAGCGGGAGTGCCGTGGGGAGGCTGCTGAGGCATTGCCCCCGCCCCACCGCGGACTTTGTTCCCCTGGGGCACGGCAGCGCCCTTGGACCCGGTATCGGGGCAGCCTCCTCCGCCCTGGGTGGAAGACGGAGCCGCACCCCACGGCCCTGCCGCATGTCGGTGTTCCCCACAAAGCGCCCAGATCCCCAAAATCCCTGACCCACAGCGACTCCCCACAAGGGCACTTTATTGCTGCCGGCAGCGGGGATCGGGGGCAGACAAGGGGGTGGGGGACGGGGTCCTGCTGGTCCCTGGCGGCTCCTGCTGGTCCCTGGGGGTCCGGGGGTCCCCCCCAGCCCCCTCAGTACTGGCTGCGCCGCAGGTGATTGGCCATCTCATAACATTTCTTGTTGACGCAGCCGCCGTGGACGCCCTCCTTGCCCATGGCCAGCACGATGGCTGCAGGGGTAGGGGAAGAAGGGGTGGGGGTCATCTCCAAGCCTCCCAAAACCCCCACCAAGCCCCACAAGCCCCAGACAGACACGGGGGCAGGAGCTGGGATGAAGGGACACCAGGAGTTAGCAAGGGGCGATTTGTGGGGACCTGGGTCAAGGGGGAGGGGGGACACGTAACGGGAAGCGGGTCAGGGGTGATAGAGGTGACAGGGCAGGTGACGTGGCCTGGGGAAGGTGGGGGGTGACACTGGGTGACACTGTGATGCCGTAAGATACATGGGAGGCACCTGTGGAGGCCTGGGGTCATAGGTGGTGACAGGAACTGGTCAGGAGGTGCCACAGGGTGACAGGGAGGGGGGCAGGGGGTGACACAGGGTGACAGGGGCAGTGCCACAGGGTGACAGGGTCCTTCCAGAGGGAGAATCCTCTCGTTGGCCATTTGGAAGGTGGGGGGGTCACATGGGACGGGATGGCAGGGGGTGTTCTGGGAGGGCGATGGAGACAACACGGGGTAGAGGTGGCAGGGGGTGGGTGCAGGGGGTCCCTCACTCTTGTTGGTGATGGCAGCCGTGATGTTGAAGGTGGGTGCTCCGGCAGCCCCCTTGGTGCGCAGGTCCATGCTGTGCTCGCCCTCCACCAGCAGCGAGTCTCGGATGACAGAGCAGCGCAGCCCCCCCAGCGTCAGCCCCTGCACCAGCAGCGGCCCCCGCTCGGGGCCCACCAGTGCGGCCACCTCTGCTGGCTGTGGACACAAGGGTCAGCCCATCAACAGACCCCCAAAGCCCACCCGTGAGAAGTGCAGCTGTCTGGGGACTGCAGGGTAACCCCCCTTTTGAGGCTGGACAGGGGTGGGGACAGGCCAAGGGGACCCCAAAGGCCCACACCCAAATGCAGACTCCAAACCCCCAGGCAGGGCCCCTGTAGGGCGCCCGGCAAACTTGGACTCTCATAACTCCCACTCCATGACCATAAAAGGGACCCGGTTGTCCCGGGACCCCCGTGACTCCCGCCAGGGTCCCCACGGGAGAACCCTGAGCCCCGAGGGGTCCCCACAAGAGAATCCCAGGATCTCCATGACCCCGCCTCACACTCGGGACCCTCCAGGGCCAACGCTTCCACCGCTGCCACGGGGGAGAACAGGTCAGGAACTCCAGGAAGGACTCCTCAGGCAAACCCCAAACCACATTTAACCCAGACAAGCCCATGGGGGCCTCACGCCCGGGGACCCCGAGGAACCCCATCACAGCCCCTCGGGGGACCCCCATCACTTCTCCGTGCCCCCAGACAGGGAGCAGGGCTCCGGCAGGACCCCTTTCTCACCACGGGCTTCCCCAAACTTCCCCCCTCCCCACCATTTCCGTGGGGGGAAGTGGGGAGGGGGGAGGGGGTGCGCGCGCGCCGCCCCTCCCCCACAGGAAGCCCCGGCCGCCCCTCCTCCACCGGGAAGTGGCCGCATTCCGCGCATTTTTAGAGGGTTTTAAAGTGGGGAGGGGTTCCTCCGCTCCCCCACCCCCGAGACCCCCGCCATCCACTGAGGGCAGTGCAATAAAAGCGATGCGCAGCCGGGACGGAGCTCGTCCAAACACGTGGTGCTCGCCCTTCCCCCCCTTCCCCGCCCGCCCGCGACCCCCCAAAACGCTCGAAGCGGGGTTAAGGAGGGGACTGCCTCGCCGCCGGGCCCCCCCACCTCCGGGGCCCCCCCAGCACCGGCCCTCCCCCGACACCGGGTGCGGGGCACGGGCAGCGCCCGAGCCCCCCCCGCCGCGCTCCACGCTGGCGCTTTTGCGTTTTTCTCCCTTTTTTGTCCTTCCCGGAGCCCGTCGCGGGAGGGTGGGGGGGTCAGCCCCGCCTCTCAGAGGCCGCCGGGTCCCCCCGCCCTCCGCGCGCTTGGGCGGGAAACGCCTCGGCGCGCTGCCCCCCCCCGCCCCGCCGGTCCCGGCCTCTCACCGTGATATTGGCGAAGGTCTTGCCGGGGGCGGCGGCCCAGACGGCGGGGGTGTCGCGGTAACCGACGATGGCGGCATCCTGGCAGGTGCCGTCCGCCAGCAGCGTCTCCACGTAGGGCGCCCACCCGCTCATGGCGGCGGCGGGCGGGCGGGCGGGGCGCGGGGGCGGGGCCTTCCGCGGGGGGCGGGGCTTCGCCGGGGAGGGGGCGGGCTTTTCGCTCGGCGCCTGCGCGGTGCGGCCGAGGCGCGGCGGCGGCGGAGGAGCGGCGGCGGCGCCGCGCGGCGGTTTTCATAGGGGACGGCAGTGGGCGGGGCCGGGGGCGGGGCCGGGGCGGGGCCCCGGGAGGTGCGCGGCGGTTTTGGGGGGAAGGGGCGGTTTGTTCCTGCGACCCTTCCCTCGTTACCGCGACACCCTCCTCCCGTTGCGGTCCCCCGCGCTGTTCCAGCCCCCGCCGTTACTGCGATCGCCGTGCTCCCGTTTACTGTGAACCCTTCCAGTGCTTGCCCCCCTCAATCCAAACCCTTCGTACTCTGCGTCCCGCGATTATCACGACGCATCCAAATTCAAACACTCCCTCCGTGTAGCGACGCTCGCTTCCATTATTCGGACCGTCCCCATCACCTCAACCCCCACTCTTTATTATGCCCCCTTTCCCCTTTATCCCACTCCCCCCCGCTATCGCGACACCCTCACGGGTATCGTGACACCCCTAGACTGATAACGAGTCCCTCGTTATTGCTCCTTCTCGCTCTGTATCGTGATTCCCGGTTATCCCGGTACACGCCGTTATGGCGCACGCCGCCCCGCGCTGGGCCCTCGGTGCGGCCCCGAACGGGGGCGGCTGGCGGGGGGGGACAGCCCCAGCTCGGTGTGTGTCTGGGGGTGCAGGACCCTCGCCCAACCCCCCGTGAGTCGCGGTTTGACTCAGGCGGGACTTTCCGGGGGGAGGGGGGAGGGGCAGCGGTTTCACTTCCTGCCCCGGGGTGGGGGAGGGGCTCGGCGGTGGAGAACGGGGAGGGGGAGGGCCGCGGCGTTCGGGATCGTCTCCCCCCTCGGGGGGCTGAGGGTGCCCGGACCTCCAGGGTTGGGGGTGGGCGGGGGTCGAGGCCTCCTGAGGGTGCCCGTTCACCCACCACCCCCCCCAAAAAAGGACCGGCCCCGCCCCCCCCCCCCCCCGGCGAGAACTTCCCCGGGAAGTGGTCAAAGCCACCGCCCCTCCCCCACGCTGTGGGGCCCGTGGGGCTGAGTTCCCCCCTCCCCCACCCCGGTACTCCTTAGGGGCTGAACTCCCCCCACAAAGGACCCTCTGCACCCCCAAAATCGTCCCCCCCTTCCCCACTCGCCCCCTCCCCCTGTGGCCGCTGCTGTTCCCCCCGGGGCCTTTAGGCGGCGCTCCAGCCCCCCCGGTTGGGAGTCGTGTTATAGTGACCTTTGAGGGAGGCGAACAATGGTCCCAAACCCGGGGGGGACACTTAGGGACCATCGCCAAGTGCCACCAGCCCCGGGCTCCTGTGGCCCCACCCCGGTGTCCCCAGCGGGGCTGAGTGTCACCACGGTCCCTCCAGGGGGAGGGACGAAGGGGAAGGGACAAATAATCCCGGGGGAGGGGGCAGGGCAGGGCCCTGGGCAGGGGCAGCGCTGGGTGAGAAGGGCCCGGACCCACCCCGGGCCCCTCTGAGTGTCCTGGGAATTGGGGAGGGGGCTCTGGGCTCGCTCAGGGTCCCCCATGGGATGGAGGGGACACAGGGCCAGCTCAGGGCGCCCGGACTTGGGGGTTCTCCCCATGGGAGCTCTGTGGAGTCCAGGGTCAGGCTGGGACCCCTGGGATCTCGGCCTTGACCCCTAGGTCTCCTACCCCACAGCCACGTCCATCCAGAAGAGATCACAGCCCAGGAGATCCTGGATTCCCGTGGGAATCTGGAGGTGGATTTGTTTACAGCCAAGGGTTTGGAGTGGCAGGGGGGGTGCTGGGGTGGGGGGCGGTGTCACAGGGGTGTGCAGGGACTTGGAGGAGGCTCAGGGTTGTGGGGGGACATGGAGGGTCCCAGGGCAGGCAGGGACGGTCCCCAGGATGGGGTTGGGCTCTGGGGTCACATCGTGAATTTCTGGTAATTGGAGAAAAGTTGTGGGGCAGTGGGGGAAGGGTAGGAAAGGGCAGAAGGTGGAGGGGACACCGAACATCAGGGTCCATCTGCCCGTGGCGGGAGAGCAATTTGGAGGGGGTGGTCTTGGGGCCTGGATGCCCCGGTCCCCTTGGCCAAGGGTCAGCGCTGAGCGTGTTCGTGTATGGGGGTCTCTGGAAGGATTTGGGGGATCAGGAGGGATTTGGGGACTGGACAGGGTGGTCATTGGGATGGACGTGGGGGCTGGGCACTGGACAAGGTGGTCATTGGGATGGACGTGGCAACCTCTGAGTTCTGCCACGAGGGCAAATCCAACCTGGGCTTCAAATCCCCCCCTGCACCCCAAGCGCCTCATCACAGGGGGACAGCCCCACCAGAGCTTCAAGGACTGCCCTGGTGTGCACTGGGATGAAACTGGGAGGGACTTTGATGGAACTGGGGGGCACTGGGAAGCAGGAGAGTGACACTGAGAAGGACCAGGAGGTGCCGCAGGGCATCGGGATGAACTGGACCAGACTAGGAGGCACGGGGAAGGCAGCTGGGCCACATTGCTGAACTCTACTGCACACTGCTTGCTGTTTCCCCACAGCAGCGATCACTGGGAAGGCTGGAAGTGGTGCCTGACACAGGTGGGCATCCAGGTGGTGGGCTGTGACCTGGCAGTGACCGACCCGAAGGGCACCGCACGGGCTGTGGGCACACAACTGCCTCCTGCTAGAGGTCCACCAGGTCAGACCCATCACCGAGTCCACCTGGGTGTGAGCGCTCTGAGTCCTCGTGCAGCTCCCCGTGCAGCTCCCAGCACCGAGTCCACGCAGGTCTGACCCTCGTGGGACCCCTCGCAAGCCCCTGGGTACCTCCCTCGTCTCGGAGTCCATCCTGCAGCCGCAGCAGAGGCTGCCAGGAGTGACTGCGCACACAAACTCGCACCGCTCTGAAAATCCCAACCACTGAGTCTGTGCAAACCCTCCTGCAAACCTCCGAAAGCACCGAGCTCTCTGCGTCCACTCGGCTGTGAGTGCACGGCAAATCCTCGTGCAAACCCTTGGGAAAGGCTCCTCGGGAAGAGAGGGGTGTGAAAACCTCACGTCCCCGTGTCGCCTCCCAGGCGTGTCCTTGTCCCTGTGTGTCCTGCTCCCCCTCTTCCCCAAAGCCCCCATGTCTGCTGAGCCCTGAATCACCCCCACATCGCCCCGCTGAGCTCGCATCCCTCCCAGGGCTGAGGACTCGCTGGGGGACAAAACCAGGCTGGGAGGGGGCAGATTCCCAAACCCCAAGGCCAAGAAGGAGGGGGAAGAGCAGCAGGACCCCCACCAGAGGGTTCCCCCCACCCCCAGTAAACTCTGTAAAGCACCAGGAGCTCCTGAGCTCCTTTGTTTAGGGAGCGGGACACACGCACGGACACAATCCGGGACGTGGGGGTGCCCCCTCACCCCAAGCACCCCCCAAAAAGAGACATGGGGACCAGGAGAGGAGATGAGGAGGTTTATCACCCCCTCTGTGCATCCCCGCCACCCTCCCCCCGCTGTTAAATACCCCCGGGGGTACCCCCCTCACACACCGGGACCCCCGGCACCCCCCCCGGCCCCGCCCTCGTCCTCCGCCTGCCGCAGCCGCTTCTTGGCGCGGATCTCGTTCATGGCCTCTTCGATGGAGCGCGTGTCCCGCTTGTTGGCCACCGGCACTGGGGGGCACAGGAGAGATCCAGGTGGTCACCCAAGGACCACCCAGACCTCGCGCTGCCCAACCCCCGGACCCCGAAGGGCCTCGGGACCCCCGCGGGACCCTCTGCTCACCGCAGCCGTACGCCTTGTTGGCCTCCATGGTGCGGGCGGCGGCTTTGGCGGCGTCGGAGCCGATCAGGTGCCGGTATTTGTCCTTGTAGTCGTTGGGGGGCCCCGGCGGGGCGGGGCCGCGCTCCAGCTCCGCCTCCTCCTGCTGTGCCGCCAGCTCCTGCAGGTGAGGCCAGGTGAGGCTCAGCAAGCCCCGCCCAGCCCGCCACACCCACTCAGGCCACACCCACCACGGCCACACCCATGTAAGCCCCGCCTCCACCATGCAGCCGTGCCCCACCCATCTGGCCATGCCTTGTTAAGCCCTGCCCACATCCTAATTAATTCCCCTAGGCCCCGCCTACCCGGAGGCGCCGCCGCTCCTCAGCCCGCGCCGGGTCCCATTCCTCGCCACGCCGATACGCCTCCAGCTCCTCGTCCGACGGCGCGAACTCCTGGGGACAGCAGCAGCGTCACCCCGCGTTCCCTCACCCCCCCCAGGCGCCCCCGGAGCGTCTCCCGCCATCCCCCACCTTCTTGAACACCATTACATAGCGACTGTCCTCGTCATCGCCAAAGGAGAAGGACGTCAGGCCGGCCACCTCCGCCACGTCGTGCCTAGGGGAACACGGAGCCGCTGGCACTGGGGCTCCCCACGGCTCCCCAGCGGGGTCCCTCCCCTCCCCGTGGGGGTCCCCAGCTGCCCCAGGGGTGCTGCCATCCTGGGACCACCCCCATGTCCCGTGGGCACCCCTGCTGCCCCACAGTGCCACCATCGTCCCCCGAGTGTCCCCAGCATTCCTCCCATCCCCGCGTCCCTCAGCGTCCCCCCAAGTGCTCCCAGTACCACCAGTGTCCCCAGTCCTCCACCACTGCCCTCCCAGTGCCCCCAGTGCCCTCCCAGTGCTCCCCAGTAACCCCCAGGGCCTCACTCACAGGATGCTCCTCTCGATCTTGTTCATGGGCTGGAAGCGACGCCGGGGCTCCCCGGTGGCCTGGATGAACTGGGACACCTCTTGCTCCATCTGGGGACACACGGGACACCCAGGGGAGCCCAGGAATTTGTGGGTGGCCCGTGGGGAGCGGCCCGAAACGCCCAGTGACGCACGGCCCCGCACTCACCCTCTTCCTGAACTCCACCTTCTGCCGCTTCTCTTGCTCCTGCAGCTTCTTCATGCGAGCAGCTTGTTCTGGAGCGGACACGGGGGGTCAGGGCGGCCGTGACCCCCCAAAAAACTCGGGGTGCTGGAGGGGGCGGGGCCTGGGCAAAGGGCAGGGGCGTGGCCACAGAGCCCCCCACTGTCAATCAGAACAGAGAGGGCGTGGCCACAGAGCCCCCCACTGTCAATCAATGCAGTGAGGGCGTGGCCACAGAGCCCCCCACTGTCAATCACTGCAGAGAGGGCGTGGCCACAGAGCCCCCGCTGTCAATCAATGCAGTGAGGGCGTGGCCACAGAGCCCCCCACTGTCAATCAGAACAGAGAGGGTGTGGCCACAGAGCCCCCACTGTCAATCAATGCAGTGAGGGCGTGGCCACAGAGCCCCCCACTGTCAATCAATGCAGTGAGGGCGTGGCCACAGAGCCCCCCACTGTCAATCAGAACAGAGAGGGTGTGGCCACAGAGCCCCCGCTGTCAATCAATACAGTGAGGGCGTGGCCACAGAGCCCCCCACTGTCAATCAGAACAGAGAGGGCGTGGCCACAGAGCCCCCGCTGTCAATCAATGCAGAGAGGGCGTGGCAATGGCGCTGGGGGCGGGGTCAGCAGCCCGCGGGGGGCGTGGCCTCACGCGAGGGCGGGCGCCGGTGACGGGGATGAGTTCTGAGGGCGAAAGGCCGCGACGCGCCGCTCCCCGCCGCGCCCGGTCGGTGGCCCTGGCCCGGTGCCTCCGCCACCCTCCCCGGCCCTGCTGACCCCGCGCCCGGCGCCGCGTCTCGCCGTCGGCCGCGGCGGGCGGCCGCTCCATGGAGTTCAGGATGGAGCCCAGCAAGTCCAGCTCCGCCATCTTGCGCCGGGGCGGTGCGTGACGCCGCGCGCCCGGTGCGTGCTGCGTCATCGCGGGGAGAGAGCGTGGCCCGGCGCCAGAGGGCGTGGCCTCCTCTTAAAGGGCCCGTGCCTCCAGCGCCCCCCCAGCCGTGTCCCCTCCCTCTGTCCCCCAGCCATGTCCCATCCCTGTGTCCCCCAGCCATGTCCCCTCCCTCTGTCCCCCAGCCATGTCCCCTCCCTGTGTCCCCCAGCGATGTCCCCTCCCTGTGTCCCCCAGCGATGTCCCCTCCCTGTGCCCCCCAGCGATGTCCCCTCCCTGTGTCCCCCAGCCATGTCCCCTACCTGTGTCCCCCAGCAATGTCCCCTCCCTCTGTCCCCCAGCGATGTCCCCTCCCTGTGTCCCCAGCAATGTCCCCTCCCTGTGTCCCCCAGCCATGTCCCCTCCCTGTGCCCCCCAGCGATGTCCCCTCCCTGTGTCCCCCAGCCATGTCCCATCCCTGTGTCCCCCAGCGATGTCCCCTCCCTGTGCCCCCCAGCGATGTCCCCTCCCTGTGTCCCCCAGCCATGTCCCCTACCTGTGCCCCCCAGCGATGTCCCCTCCCTGTGTCCCCCAGCCATGTCCCCTCCCTGTGTCCCCCAGCAATGTCCCCTCCCTGTGTCCCCCAGCCATGTCCCCTCCCTGTGCCCCCCAGCGATGTCCCCTCCCTGTGTCCCCCAGCCATGTCCCATCCCTGTGTCCCCCAGCCATGTCCCATCCCTGTGTCCCCCAGCCATGTCCCCTCCCTCTGTCCCCCAGCCATGTCCCCTCCCTGTGTCCCCCAGCCATGTCCCCTCCCTGTGTCCCCCAGCGATGTCCCCTCCCTGTGCCCCCCAGCGATGTCCCCTCCCTGTGTCCCCCAGCGATGTCCCCTACCTGTGTCCCCCAGCAATGTCCCCTCCCTCTGTCCCCCAGCGATGTCCCCTCCCTGTGTCCCCCAGCAATGTCCCCTCCCTGTGTCCCCCAGCCATGTCCCCTCCCTGTGCCCCCCAGCGATGTCCCCTCCCTGTGTCCCCCAGCCATGTCCCATCCCTGTGTCCCCCAGCCATGTCCCCTCCCTGTGTCCCCCAGCGATGTCCCCTCCCTGTGCCCCCCAGCGATGTCCCCTCCCTGTGCCCCCCAGCGATGTCCCCTCCCTGTGTCCCCCAGCAATGTCCCCTCCCTGTGTCCCCCAGCCATGTCCCATCCCTGTGTCCCCCAGCGATGTCCCCTCCCTGTGTCCCCCAGCCATGTCCCCTCCCTGTGTCCCCCTCGCCACACGCGAACCCAAAAGCACACCGGGGCTCTCATTCCCGCTTCCTCGCTTTTTAATGGAACTCTGTACAAAGGACCCACGCGGGGCGGGGGGCAGTGGGCATGCGGGGGGGGGTACAGGGGCGAGTGGGGAGGGGGCGCGGGGCGGCTCCTGCCCCTCCTTGCCCTCCCCACGAGCCCTCGGGGGACACCCGGACACGCCTGGGGGGGCAGGGGGCGAGCTCCCATGTGAGGGGGGCAGCAGGGTCCCCCATTGCCTGGGTCCCCCGTTTTGGGGGCGTGGAGCCCCCCCAGCGCCCGGATCCGCAGTGGGGGGGTCACGAGGCCAGGCCCCGCGTCTGTAAACTGTCCACCTCCTTGTTCTGCTTCAGCTCCTCCATCCTGGGCGAGGGAAGGTGAACTGGGGGGAGGCTCAGGCTCCTTGGAGACACTGTCCCCGAAGCCCCCAGTGTCACCCATCTCCATCTCCCCCCGGCTCCGTGTGACACCTCCCGGCTCCCCTTGGCTGCCCCCGACATCCCCGTACCGGTGGCGGCAGCGCCGCAGGAACCTCATGATCTTCCGCGCTGCCTGGTCCTGCTTGAGGGTGAGGAAGGTGCTCCTGGGGGGAATGGAGAGGAGGGTGAGGACCCCTGTGCCGCCAGCACCCCGCGTCCCCCGCGTCCCCCGGCCGCACCGGTGCTGGCGGAGGCTGCGGAAGCGCTGCTGGATGAGCACGGCCGCGCGCCGGCGCCGCTGGAACCGCTTCTGCTCCGCGTAGCTCCGGAACTTGCTCTGGATCAGGATGGCGGCCTGCGTCATCCGCTGGAACAGGGCGAACTGCGGGGACAGGGGGATGTCACAGCACCCTCAAACGGGGACTCCCGTGTCACCCCAGCACCCCATCTGCTCGAGCTGGGGGGACAGAGGGGATACACCCCAAACCCACTCCAATATCCCCAAGCAAAGACCCCCGTGCCCACGTGGTCTGGACCCCGGGCACCCAGAGCCCTCAAAACAGCACCAAAATCTGGGTGACCCCCCAACGCTCCCCCCTGTTACCTTCAGAGCAATCCAGGTCAGCTTGTGGGGCAGAGAGAGAGGGTTAGGGGGCTCCGGGGTGCCTGGGGGGTGCCCCAGAGGGGTCTGCGGGGGTTTTGGGCCCCCCACGCCTCGGTACCTGCTTGTACTTGCGGTAGCAGCGCTGGATGACGGCGGCAGCCAGCTCCTGCTGCTCCTTCAGCCTGCGGCCCTGGGGGAGTCAGGGGGTTGGGGGGTCAGCAGCAGTGCCCCAGGGGGGTTTTGGGGTGCTGGGGGTGGGGGGTCACACACCCGGTACTTGCGGAAAGCGCCCTGGACAAGACGCGCGGCCTCGTAGAGCTCGTGCTGCTCCTGGTCGCTGAGGGTCAGCAGGGCCACGGCGCCGCCCTCGCCCCGCGCCCCCCCGGAGGCGTTCAGGAACTCAGCCCAGCCCGCGGCCGAGGGCGGGGGCGGCCGCTCGGGGACCCCCGGGGACCCCCGCGAGGCCGCCTCCGCTCTGGGGGACACACAGCACACGGGAGGGTCAGGGCCCGAGGGTGGGCAGCCCCCGGGAGGAGCGGGAGACGCGCAGGAAGGGATGTGAGCGTCCCCAGGAGGACTCTGCGGTGTCCCCGCAGCCTGGGGAGACCCCCAGTGGGATGGGGGGTTTGGAGGATGTGGGGGACCCCCACCACAGGACGTAAAGGACCCTCCCAACGTGTCCCAGGACACGGGGTCCCCCAGAGGATCCCGGGCTGTGGGATCCCCTGGAGCACCCCATGTGACCCCCACGGGGAGCTGGGGGTGCCCCTGCACACCCCCGACCCCAGGAGTACCTGTTGGCAGGTGCGGGGGGACGGTCAACGCTCTCTAGGTACGTGGCCAGCCAGGCCATGGCAGCGCCAAGCCCTGCTGGCCCCGTTGTCCCCGTTGTCCCCGGGGTCCCCCCCGCTGCTCCCAGTGCCCCCAGTGGCCCCCCTGGTGCCTCCTGCTTGATGCGCTCGGGGGTGGCCTCGATGATCTGCCGCGCCAGCGTCACCACCTCGGCCTGGGGACGGGGGACATCGGCACTTGTCTGCACGAAGGGTGTCCCCAGCCCGCACGAAGGGTGTCCCCAGCCCCGGCTGTCCCCGCCTTTACCTGCAGCGTGTCAGAGGGCAGGGTCAGGGCGTCCTCGGGGGGGCTGGGGGGCACTGCCACCCCCCAGCTGTCGTCCTCGCAGGGTCCAGGGGGGCCGGGGGGCAGCGGGACAGAGCCAGGGCCCTCCGAGAGCCCCGATGGGGACGACAGGCTGCTGGCTGTGCTCAGCCCTGGGGACAGCGGGACACGCAGAGGGGGGTTAGTCCTGGAGGGACACACCCCGAGGAGAAGGGGGACATGGCAAGAGGACAGGGGATAGCGTGGGGACACGCCAGGGACACGAAGAAGGTGGGCAGGACAAGGGGGACATGGGGATGCGCAGGGGGCAAAGACCTCGGAGGGGGAACTGGGGGGACACAAAGATACTGGGGGAGGACAGGGGACACGGGGGGAAGGCTGGAGGGGAGCAGTGACACCCTGGGGGCACACAGAGGTGACAGAGAGGGAAAAGGTGCCAGTGCCATCAGTGCCATACCTGTGTCGGGGCTGGCAGAGAGCGGGGAAGGGATGCGCAGCCCAGGCAGGTGACAGCGCGGGGACACGGGTGACATCTGCAGCTCCTCGAGGCGCGTGACCAGGGCCAGGTGGCCGCGGGCCCGTGCCAGGGCCAGTGGCAGCCGCCCCAGGGTGTCGGGGACGGCCAGCGCCCGCCGGTCCCAGCGGCACAGCCGCTCCGCCGCCTCCCGGTGCCCCAGCGCACACGCCCACATCTGGGGACACCGAGGCACGCGTCCACACCGTGTCCCCAAGGAGATGCCATCCCTGGTACCCCTCTGAGACACCGTCCTCGGCACTGCCGCGTTCCCAGCCCTGCCACGCTGCCACCACCGCTGTCCCCAGCGTCCCCTTACCAGAGGGGTGCAGGAGAAATGGTCCACGTTGAGGGGGTCGATCTCCTGCTCCAGCTCCAGGCTCTCAACTGCCAGCGCCCTGCAGCGACAGGAAGGGACACGGGCTGGAGGGGGTCACCTCTGCTCAGGCACGCTTCTTAGGGGGGTGCCCATCGCCATCCCAGGTGTCCCCAGGTGTCCCCAGGTGTCCCCAGGCGTCCCCAGGTGTCCCCAAGTGTCCCCCAGGCGTCCCCAGGCATCCCCAGGTGTCCCCAGGTGTCCCCGCTCACCGCCAGCGCCGAAGAGCCTCCACCAGGCCGGCGTAGCCCTGGGCGGCCGCCAGGTGCAGCAGCGTCATGCCACGGAACGTCGCCCCGTGCGCCAGCACCGAGGTCCCCGATGTCCCCAGCGATGTCCCCAGCGACGTCCCCGACCAGCCAGGCCGGGCCATCATGGCCTCGCAGATGGCCACCACGCGTGCCTCGAAGGACGAGCCCGGCCCCTGGTACCAGGGAGCCCGTCAGGGGAGGTCAGGGCACAAGGAGAGGGTGGCACAGGGGGCGGGGGACAGCGGAGGGGGACAGTGGTTCATGGCGGGGACATCAGGAAACACCACGAGACCCCCACGAACGGGGTACCCCAGGGGACACCAACGGATTCTGGCGGGTGCAGGGGATGCCAGGCAACACCACGGCACATCGGGGATATCGGGGCCATCGGAGCAGGCGGGAGGACACGGGGACCTCCAGGTGTTGGGGTGGCCTCACCTGCTCAGGGGGGCTCTCGGAGGGGCCCCCCCGTGGGGGCGGAAGGGGTGCGGGCGGGGGCAGCGCCCCGAG